GGATGAGCCCTGGGACTGGGCAGGGGCAGGGGGCTGGACCCATGGTACGGCTGATCTCTCTGCCCTTCCAGGACCCCAAACTCTGGGACCCCAGATAAAATAGGACCAGCTCTTGCCCCAAGGGGCCTGTGCCCTCCCATGTCCCCCATCCTCCCCAGCCCCGCCCCACTACCCCCCCCTGCTCTCCAGCCCCTTGTACCCCTCAGCTGCCCTCCTGTTCTCCGTTCTAGCTTCCCCCAACTCTGTCTCCAGCGATTGCTCAAGTGGCGCCACCAGGTGGCAGACACAAGGACAAGGCTCCCCCCACCCCAAGAGCGATGGGAAAGGAGTTGAGGGGGGACCTGATCCCCACCCCCAACCCTCCAGCATGTGGCATCTGGGCTGCAACACTGAGCCCATGAGCCTGAGCACGGGTGGGAGCCATCTGGGAACCTGCCCCTGGGGGGGGGCTAACTGGGGTGGGACAGAGCAAAGGGGTTAAGGCCCTCAGAGCTCACAAGCCCCGCCCGGTTGAGGCCCCCACACTGGCAGAGAACAACACCCCTCTTCGCAGCGTGGACAGCACTAGGACAGGGCTCCCCCACCCCTGCTGTTCTGCCCACGGAGCCCCCTTGGGGGGGGACACGAGCTGACCAGCGCTGCCCGCCCCTAGCACAGGAACTCCGGCCTGGGCCAGCTGCGAGCGGGGAGTGATGCCTAGAGGCCCCCAGGCAGGGGCTGGTGCCCAGGTTGACTGATGAGGTGACACCAGATGCCACAGACACAATCCCTCTCTTCCCCTGGGCACTGAAGCCTTTCACTTCCACAGCCTGGTTCAAATCCAGTTGCAGGATTGGGGTTGGATTGGTGCAAAGTGTGTTTCTAAACCTCACTCCTGTTGTACGCTGCAGCTGACATGCCAACGCCGTTCTGCGAGTGTTTCGCCAAAACCCTTAGCCGCCCACTAAGTGGGCTAGTTCTGGGCTGGAATTTTGTTTTTAATTCAGTAAATACATTTTGAATCAAGTTATTTTCCTTAGGACTTGGAATTTGCCAAAAGTTTTTCAAGCATTTTATCGCTAGTGCAGCACAGCAAAGTCATTGCTGACTTAGCCATATTTCTCATGGTGGTTATGGGACGGGGGAAAAGAGCGCGGATTCACAGGGGGCGGAGGGGTATTTAGAATGAGTAAAAACAAAAGCTCTTTCAAGGCTGCAAAGGAAGTGACCATGCAGCTGCCTCTGGGGTGAGACACAGGGATCCCTCGCCTGGTGCTGAGATGCAGCTGCCTCTGGGGAGGAGTGTGGCAGCTGTTTATGTTTCTTGTGGTTAAGGCCGCTGAAGATCTGGGTTTAATTCCTAGCTCTACCACTGACTCCCTGTATGAGTGCTTTAACTCAAGGAAGGCCCAGGTCTGGGTTAAACAGGTCAGACTAGATGATCACAGTGGGCCCCTCTAACCTTAGAATCTATGACTCTTTGACTCTGGGCCAGTCACTGACCCGTCCCGGGCCTCAGTTTACCAAGATGTAAAATGGGGCTAATAACTTTTCCTTTCTTCTCCTGTCTGGTTAGCCTGTGCTCCCAACACATGCTCAGTTGGGGCCTGTAGGTCCTACCATAAATACAAGTGACAATAACTTTCCTTCTTGCACACACATCGCGCCCTTTCCATCCATTGCTCTCAAAGCTCTTCACCAGGGAGGGCAGTGTCATGAGGCCCATTTGACTGATGGGGAAACCGAGGCACAGGAAGGGGATGTGACTTGCCCAAGGTCACCCAACAGGCCAACGGGACTAGAACCCAGGTCTCCTGAGGCCCGGCTTAGCCTTTTCCCATTCTCTGGAAAAGCCTATTTTACCAATGGGTTATTCTCCTCACTCACTACAACACCCTGCCCCCCCCCAACCTTTTCCATCACTCTCAGCAGCAGGATAAATCTCTCTCCTTCCCTGCTGGTGGGGCGCCGTCAGTTTTCACAGCGCGACGGCTAAATCTGCGCTGAAGGTAACGGGCTAGGAGAGAGAACTGTAATAGTTTATAGCTGATGAGCATAAACCAATAACAGCCAGGAGGCATTCACCCTGCCCAGCTGTTCAGTGGCTTCGCTCCCATCCAGGGCGCGTTCCAAGGAAAGGCGCCTGGACGTGCTCCAAACCCAGAGAGAGTCACAGCAAACTGCTTCCTTGGGCTGCAGCTGATAATGGGCCTTCTGCAGAGGAAGGACGGGCTCATGGTTAGCGATTCCAGGCCAGACGGGCCCATTGTGATCATCTGCATAGCACAGGCCAGAGACCTGCCCCACAATCATTCCTTGGCACAGAACAGCCCTACTTGATGGAGATGCCACCATGGCCCTGGGTAAGTTGCCCCCATGGTTAATTCCCCTCCCTGGTAAACATTTACATCTTAGTTCCCGTCTGACTTTGTCTCATTTCAACTCCCAGCCGTTGGCTTGTGGGACATGACTGAAGGGCCCCTTATGAAATCCCTGTGTAGGCGACAGTCTGATCAAGTTCCCCCTTAACCGTCTCTTTGTTCGGTTCCCGGCTCTGCCATTGACACCCCGTGTGATCCTGGCCCAGCCAAACTTCCACTGAGTTCACTGGCTGGTGGCTAAATTTCTGGGAGGCTCTGGACCTTGGTCTGTCTAGGCCTCAGTTTCCCATCTGTACAATGGGGATAGTATTCTTGCCTTTGCCTTGCCTATTTCAGTCGTTTGCACTTAGGGGAAGGGACTGTCTCTTGCCCCGTGGAGTTTCCTCAACTCTGGCAATTTTATCTCCTGTCTCACGCCACTTGGGGTTTGCCTCACATGTGATTTCAAATCACGGCGGTATGCAAGTTTCTCGCCCTGGTGGTCACCCCAAAAAAGCTTGAAAATGTGACATACACACACACCCCAGGCTCCAGCCCCACATTTATTATTGTTTTTAAATCCTGTAATTTTTAAGCCAATCTCCTGATTTTTTTTTTATTTTTTATTTTTTTTTGAGCACCTGACATGATTTTTGAACGCTGGTGTATGTTTGTACAGCACCTGACACCCCAGCACCCTGATCTCAACCAGGGCGCGCCCAGGGCAGCTGTAGCAATACATGGGCTTTTAAAGGGACAGTGTCAACAACAAAAAATCACTCTCCTGGTGGCATATTTTTGGCCTCTTCTTGTTAATATGAACATCTACATCAGACAGCCTTGAAATTCTCAGTCCAGACTGAGGGCAGAGCCAGTGCGCTGTGTGCCATCCCTGGGCGCATTGCCAGCATCAGCAGGGCCTGGCGCCTGCGCTGCCCGGATGGGTTCCCCGCTGCTCAGACCAGGCGGCTGCTCCTCGCCTTCCATTGTTGCATAAATCTGGAGCTGGCCGAAAGTGCAGCATTATTTGGTCCCTGGACACCGAAGCCTCTCTCCACAGAATAGGTGTGGGGTGAGTCCCCCGCACTGCCCCCAACCGTCACTCCCTGTGCCCCAGCCGTGCACTCTTGGGATTCCCCCCTAACTGGGGAGCTGCATCCATCGAGAGGGCTCCACCTGGGCCCATGGCTTTGCCTTGTGGCCACAGGCTGTGACCTGTGGGCAGGACCAGCATCTGCTCGGTGCTGCCCTGGGCTGGACCGAACCCGGCGGACTGGAGCCCAGCAGCTGGGCAAGCCTGCGGGCTGGAGTCTGCGGGGGAGGGGTCCATTAAACCCTGGGTTTGGACGAAGGCCAGAATCAAACCACTAACAAAATGTTAAATTGGAGTCGAGCGCTTGGGAAAAAGCTGCCCTGGCGTCTCCGCAGACTGGAGCCCGGAATCCCTGCCCTACCTCTGCCCAATGGGGCTGCCTCGCCCGCTGCTGGAGCTGCTGACCATGGCCACCACGTGTCTCTCGCTGCCTGCGTGGGGTCAGGGGCTGGATGGAGCTGGGGGACCTGGGAGCCCAGCCCCAGCTCAGCAGGGGTGGCGGTTTCAGTGCTGGACCCTAGTGAAGCAAAGGGGTGGGGGGCGTTCTCTGTCAAGGCTGCTGGGCTCAGACCCTGGAGTTCCTTTGGGCTCCCCAGGTCCCAGCCCTCGGGGGCTCTCTCTGGCCTGGACCGTGGGCGTCTCTGCAGCTGGCCATGGCAGACTTCCTGGCCCCTGGCAGCGCTGGCCTCAGGCACTAAATGGTTAATATTGTCCTGCACTGGGTGTGTGTGAGCACCACTGCCCTCTGCAGGATGGGCCCAGAACTGCACACCTGTGTGTCACTGGCCCTGTCCTGCTGATGGTGGAGGGGGATTCTCTGTTACCTCAGGGCCTCAATCCCTGGGTTTCTGAAGCAGGAGGCAGATCTGGGCTCTTTCCTGCTGCCGTGTGGCTCTGAGAGGTCTCAGGGCACAGCTTAGTGACCCTGGGACAGCCGGGGTGACTGCGGATCCTTCTCCTATGCAGAGTACGCACAACCATAGCTCAATCGAAAGCCCTGGTTTATGATCACTGGCTGGGGGTGAGGCTCCCAGCTACTCCAGTCCCAGCATCTCCCAGCAGGGGGTGCTGCGGGGAGCGGGGCAGGAGGGGCAAAGCGGGGGAGGCAGGGCAGGACTGGCTAGGGCTTTACAGTGTGGGGTTCGTACATGCCTGGCACAATGGGGCCCAACGCGGTTTGGCCGCTAGGCATGGTCACACTCTGTACGTAACCCGTCACCCTGGGGAGCCCAGCCCTCAGGCCGAGCTTTAGGCAACTCTTTTCTCCTCTAGGTTCTTTGCTTTCCGGTGCTACCGGCGGAGCTCTCGCTGCAGCCGCACGGAGTCGGGGCGGGCGCAGATGGGGGAGGGTCACTCCCACTGGTGTAATGCAGGAGCTGGAGCCCACAGTGCGAATCCAGCTTGAGCAGAGAGTTCCTCTGCTGGAGTTCAGCCAGGCAGTGTGCAGATCCCATCCTGTCCCTGCACCTGCCCTTCCTCCTGGGGTACCGTACCAAGCGCCCTCCCCAGGCACCGCCCCACACAGCCCCCTGCAAGGGCTGGACAGGGAGGACACCCACACACACCGCTGCTGGCTCACGCTGGCATGCCTGGCACGCCAGGACAATGGGTTTATTGAACCTTTAATAAAAAGCAGGAGCATCCAAAGGGGAGAGAGCGAAAGAGGAGAACTGAGGGGGCTGCCCCATGCCCCGCCAGGGGAGGGGGTGATGTACAGTCTATACACAAGCAAGGTGAGACTGGGATCGAGACCGAGCAACGGGCGTGGTCCCAAGGGGGGCTGGAATGCCTGTCATGCAGCGCCATGGGGGCAGCTGGCACTGCCCATGGGGGAGGGGCCAGGCTGGCAGGAGGGAGCTGGGCTGCCCCTGGGTGCACTGCCCCTCCCCAGCCGCTGGCAAACACCGGCCCAGTAGGGTGAGCCTCAGCAAACAGAGCTTTCCAGGGTCTGCATCCCAATGGGGCCCAGCCGGGCGTCGAAGTCCTGCGCCCAGCCCAGCGTGGCTGGATGGCCAGCGAGAGGGGAGGAGAGAAGAAAGCCCGTGGTGGGGACGGGGCTGGTGAGAAACACAGGAGAGCAGCTCAGCAGGGTCCCAGAGCCAGTCCTCAGGTCATGGGGCTGTTGGGGAGAGTGATCGCCAGATAGATAGAGGGGGTGGATGGAGATAGATAGATAGATAGATAGATAGATAGATAGATAGATGGGGATAGACAGACAGACAGACGAGGAGTGTATGGGGACAGACAGACGGGGCATTCGGTGACAGATAGATCCATAGAGGGGTATATGGGGACAGACGGCTGAGAGGTGTGGGGACAGATAGATCGAGCTGATCTGGGTCTCTAGAAGCCATGTGATAATCAAAAGTCCCTGTCCAGCCCCTTTTGTCTGGGGGGTCTCTGGCCAAGGGGCAGGATGGGCACAGAGGTGCTATCCATTGTTGGGTATCCTGGGCCCCCGCATTGTTCTGCCCCCAGTGGAGCTGCGTCACCCAGATGCCTCTGCCCCATGTCCCCACAAAGCAGTTGTGCCGGTGCCGAGGGTGGCCGTGTCACCCCTTCCCTGCAGGCATCGGGGCTGGCTGCGCTCTCTCGCCGGGTAATAAATAACAATGCCTTTGGCTGGCTGCGCCGGGCCCGTCCGGGGGTCCTGTGCTGCGGCTCCCATGGCAGCTACAGGTGGTCGTAGGCAGCGGCGGGGGGCGCGGGGGCCCTCGAGGCAGAGCTGTAATAATATGGGGAACCTGGGCAAGACCAACAGTGCCCGTTAGAGGGGAGCGCCAGCCTGTTCCCCCCTAACCCCCCGCCAGAATTAACCATTCACACTGAGCATCACAGGTTAACCCACACCAGGAGCTCCGCCCCCACGCCCCACTCAGTTCCCACTGCCCGTGCCCGTCTCCCACCCCCTCCCAGCTCCCAGGCCTTGTGGCTACGAAGAGCAGGAAGCAGCCAATAGCCGGTGCCCCCCACAGCAAAGCCGTGGGGCCCAATGGGAAGGGCACTGGGAGAGGATGCTGTGGACCTGGGTTCTAGTCCTGCCTCTACCACTGGGGGACCTTAGGAGCTCTGAGCAGGAACCGTCCCTTGTGGTGTTGTGTGTGTGTGTGTGGCACCAGCACGACGAGGTCCTGATCTCGCCTGGGGTCTGGGCAGGCCCCTTCCCTCCACCACCACCCCCATGCAGTGGAGTCACCTCATCCCTATCCCATGCCAGGCACTCACTCAGCAGGCTGGAGTTGGGGAAGCGCCAGGCCTCACCGTAGGTGGAGTAGGGGGAATGGCTGTAGGCGTTCGCAGAGTAGTCACTGCCTGCTGGGGACAGAAAGAGGAGTTAGTGCCCAGAGAGCGGGCTAGGGCATGGCATACCCAGGGCGGGTACCATCACCCCTGGGCAGCCGCTTCTGGTGTTGGGCAGCCCACGAGGACAAGGGAGCCCCTTCACGGGCCATTCCAGGACAGACAGAGGGTGGGAGTGAGCACCAGTGCACAGGGCACGAAGTCTGGGGGGCACCTGGGGAGGATGCAGCTAAGCCATGAGTGCTGCAGATAGTGCAGCTACCATGGTGAGGGGCCAATGACAGATAGATAGATAGAGGAGTATGGGGATAGATAGATTATTCCCCTCTATTCGACACTGGTGAGGCCACACCTGGAGTACTGTGTCCAGTTTTGGGCCCCACACTACAAGAAGGATGTGGAAAAATTGAAGAGAATCCAGCAGAGGGCAACAAAAATGAGTAGGGGGCTGAAGTAAATGACTTATGAGGCGAGGCTGAGGGAACTGGGCTTGTTTAGTCTGCAGAAGAGAAGAATGAGGGGGGATTTGATAGCAGCCTTCAACTACCTGAAGGGGGGTTCCAAAGAGGATGGAGCTCGGCTGTTCTCAGTGGTGGCAGATGACAGAACAAGGAGCAATGGTCTCAAGTTGCAGTGGGGGAGGTTTAGGTTGGATATTAGGAAACACTTTTTCACTAGGAGGGTGGTGAAGCACTGGAATGGGTTACCTAGGGAGGAGGTGGAATCTCCATCCTTAGAGGTTTTTAAGGCCAGGCTTGACAAAGCCCTGGCTGGGATGATTTAGTTGGGAATTGGTCCTGCTTTGAGCAGGGGATTGGACTAGATGACCTCCTGAGGTCCCTTCCAACCCTGATAGTCTATGATTCTAAGATAGATAGATAGATAGATAGATACGGAGGTGGATGTAGATAGATAGATAGATAGATGTGGTGTATGAGGATGGCGGGGTGTGTATGAGGACAGCTAGATGGGGGGTGGTAGATGGGGATAGATTGATAGATGTGGATGGACATAAAGATCGGTCCTGCCAATCGCTGTGACCAGTCGATCCATGCCCAGCGTTTCCCTGGCATGCAGGCCCAGCTGGCACCGGCTGGGGATGGAGGTAGCAGCGAGCGAGGCGGTTGGGTTTCTTGCCTTGCTCAGCAGGCCGGGGGCCGGGAGGGCTGTGGGCGGTTGGCGGAGTCCCCAGCACACACTGTCTAACCCAGTCCCGAGTCCCCCCGCCCTGCGCTCTCCAATCTCATTTCACGCTCGAGGAGAGGGGCTGGGGCGGCCCGGGTGCAGCGCTGGATTCTCAACGCTGCATTAAGCACATCTCCAGGGTAACGCGGCAACAAGCCAGTTCAGCATGTTCCCGGCCCAGGGGAGCCGTGCAGCTACCTGGGGCACGGCCCACGGCCCACAGAGATTAACCCTTCGCAGGGAACAGCCAGCTGCAGCACCGGGAGGGGCAGGGGGATTAGGGTGCGGTTGGTTCCCAGCACCTGTCCCCCTCACCCCATTTCTTAGCATCAGGTGCCCTCCACCAGCTCTGCACACACAGACAGCCCCCCCCACCGCCCCCCGCCACAACTCCTCCCGGGTCCCTGGAGCCAAAACTCACAGCTAGATCTGATGGGGGGCAAGGGGATCCTGAGTTTTGGTTCAGCCCATTACAGACACGGTCAGCTGCAAAACTGACCTGGAGAAAGAATCCAGGCGTCCAGGATCCCAGACCCCTGCTCTAACCACTAGACCCCAATCCCCTCCCCTCCCCTCCAAGAGCTGGGGACAAAACCCAGGACTTCTGCCTTCTAATCACCCCACCTGTTCTAATCACCCCATACACTGTATCCCTGAGACCAGGCTCTCCCACCCCCAGCTCTGCTCCTCAATCCCAACCCGCAGGCCTGCCCTCCCCCTGGGAGCTAAATGGCACCTGAGGGGCCCCCTGTTAACTACCCCAGGGCTTCCCCTAGCGCAGCTGCCCTGCGGCACAGTGCCCGCTGCACCCTCCCCCTGCTGCCCCGGTCCTGCAGGACCCCCTAGCCCACTGCGGCCCTACCTGCCACCATGCCAGCGATGGCGGAGGAGGCGTAGCTGCCCTGCCCGCCGGTGGGGATGTGCGGGGGGTAGCCGGGCAGGGTGGAGCCGACCATCTCGCGCCCTGCAAGGGAGAAGGGATAGTAGGTGAAAGGCTGGACACGCGAGGGGGGCAAGAGGCAGCCCCAAAATGAGCCCCCAGCCCAGCTGGACCCCAGCCCGGGGGACTGAGCCTGGGGTCAGCCTGCCAGGGAGCCAGGCAGAATGCAGCTACCTAGCTGGGGATCTGCCTAGGGATCTGCAGGTGTGATCCTTCTACCTACAGGAGGGCTCTCCCAATGGGATCTCCCTACCTAACTGGGGGACTGCTATATCTGGGGCTCTACCAACTGCAGGGTCTCCCTGAAGGATCTGCCTGGGGATCTAGCATCTTACTGACCTAGGGATCTCCCTGAGGGATCTAATACCTTACTAACCTGGGGGAATGTCCCTGGGGATCTAGCACCTTACTGGCCTGAGGGATCTCCCTGAGGGATCTAGTACTGTAGTGACCTGGTGATCTCCCCAGGCCGATCTAGGACCTTACTGACCTGGGGGGAATCTCCCTGGGGGATCTAGGACCTTACTGACCTGGGAATCACCCCCTCTCTGTCTCCTCTCAATTTCCTGCAGCCCTGGATCCCGTGGTAACCGTGGGCCATCCCGCTCCCCTCCCTGGGGGGTCTCTAGGGTCCAGGGTACTGTTCTCCAGCCCCAGGAGCTGCTGGTCTGATCTCTGGCCAGACCCCCTGGCCCGGCTCCCCATGCCTCTTGCCCCTCCCTTACGGATCCAGGCAGCTTTGTCTGCCCTAGAGAGACGGGAGGGCTTCGCTGGAGCTCATCGAGCAGGTGTCAGCCCTGGTGAATCCCAGAACATTCCCCAGGACAGACAGAAGCTAAGGGTTTAACTGGACAGCGCTAACTCCCCCATCCCAGGTGACCCTCCCTTGTCTTTCTAACCCTCTTCTACTCTGGCGCTGGCAGGGGCCTAAATCCCTGTCTGAGCCCCCTGCCCCCCCAGCCCTGCGCTCTGGGGATGAACCCACCAGCCTGAGCGTCGGTGAAGAATGCATGGGAAACATGGAGTGCACGGTGACCTGCAGCAGCAGAAGGCGGCTGGGATAGGCGCAGACACAAGGGGTTAATGAGCACAGCCAAAATGCTCCGGGCCCAGAGCTCAAGGGACAAGGTTTTACGCCATGATTTGTATTATGGTAGCACCTGGAAGCCTCAACCGAGATCAGACCTTGTCGTGCCAGGCGCTGCCCAGACCTTGACCGACATCAGAGCCCGTTGCACCGGGCCCCACTCTAACCTGGTGCTAGAGCCAACAGTTTAACCAAACTTACAGAGGATGATTATCCTCCTTCTACAGCTGGGGAAACTGAGGCACAGAGCGTGGCAGGGATTTAGCCAAGGTCCCCCAGGGAGTCAGTGGCAGAGCTGGGCCTTGACCCCAGATATCCTGTGGCCAAGCTCAGTGCCCTAAGCACCAGGCTGAGGTGAGTGCCTGTAGGGCTCTGGGCAGCGCTGCCCAGCTGTGTTGGTCAGGCGCTCTCTGTGTCCATGCCCACCTCACGAGCTGCCTGTCCTACCAGTGCAGAGGGCCTAAGGGTTTGGATGCCCAACCTGCCCCAGCCTCCACCAGCCCGTGGCCCCACTGGCAATAGTGTTGCTGCCCTCTGGGACCAGGCTGCCGAGGGGGCGGGGCGGTCGAGGCAGGAGGACGCCGGCTCTGAGATGGCGACATAGCTGCCATGGGAAGGCCAGGGGATCCAGTCCTCAGTGTGTAGCTCTGTCGCTAGCCAAGGCCCGTAACCCTCCCTCCACCCCAATTCCTGGATCCCTGGGGTGCCCCCCTGCCCGTAATGCCCCTCCCCTGGTATCAGCACAGCTGGCAGGTGGCCTTCTTTCGTCACCTTCCAGCGAGCCGAGACCCAGCAATTTCCTCTCCCGTGGCCAAGGGGGGAGGCCTCCTGGGCTGGAGCCGGCTCTGCAGGTCCCCCTGCTCTCCAGAGGCCTGCGCCGACCCTCCCCTGTGCCCCGAGGACTGGATCAGAACCCCAGAACCAAGCCCCCACGGTGGGGAGGGGGAGAAGCGGGGTATCACAATCCCGTCCATAGCCGGAAAGCTGCATGTGGCAAATGCAATTAGCCTGTGGAACTCCTTGCCACTGGGGAGCACTGGGGCCAGGAGGGTTCCAAAGCAGAGGAGACACTGATGGATAAATGGCCACAGGCCCACCTTCATTAGCTGGGCTATAACCCCTCCTACCCCAGGGCAGTGTCAAGGAGAAACATCACCGTCAGGTGATTCCTGAACAGCCCACTTTGGGGGGGCGCTCTGGCACCTTCCTCTGGAGCAGCTGGGACTGGCCTCATGCGAGACAAAGCCCCAGGAGGGTGGGTCCGGTTCTGCTCTGGTGCCACAGCCCCTGCTCCCAGCTAATGGCCCAAGCTGCCCCAAATCTTGAGAGGCCTCAGAGCCTGGCGTTCTAACCCTGGAGCCAGGCGGCTGCCCCTCTGCTGGGACATTCAAATTCCTGTCGCTGGAGAATCCCCATTCTTCAGGAGCAGTGCGGGGCCGGGGACACACAGCTGAGCTGCGAGCCCTGTTAGCCAGCGGGGGCTCAGAAGGCAAGCTGTGGGAGTACAGATTGGGGGGGGATGTCTGAGAGCCCGGGCAGGGTTTCCCCAGGGTCTGGCTGGGGAGGGCATGGCTGCAGTGTTTGAACTCCAGCCCAGCTGGCCCCCAGCCAGAGCCCGCAGCCCAACAAAAGGACAATTGAGGAGGGTGGGGAGGGGAAATGCGCCTTTGATCTCAAACCAAGGTGGACGGGGGAAGGGCCCGCTCATGTTCAGATCTGGGTTAGCCCAGCTAAGGGGGGCTAACCCAGATCTGCCTTAGCCCAGCTAAGGGGTTCCTGGGCTGTGAACAGGACGCCCATGGGCTGGGCTAAGGCAGAACCTCAATGGTTCTGTGGGGGACACCGGTCCAGAACTGCTGCCCAGCTCCTGCAGGGAGTCCAGAACCTGGTCATCCCTGGGTCCAGACCCCAGCGCGAACCAGACTCCAGAACCTGCCCCTGCCTGGGCTCTCAAGGGAACCCAGAACACACTGGCCTGCTGGGTTCTGGAGGGAGGCTAGAACCCGGCATCGCATAAATTCTGCCCAGGTCTACAACACTCCAGAACCCACAATTGAGCTGCCTTCTCCAAGGGGAGCCCACAGACCCAAACTCCCACTTGACCCCCAAGTGAGTCTAGAACCTGTGCCCACAGACAGCTGCAAGGAGGAGCCTGGAACCCAAATCTCCAACCAGCAGCTGGAAGGAAATGTCCTCCTATAAACTGGGGTCTGGAGGGGGGTTCCAGAACCTGATTTGCCAGCTGGGCTCTAGAGTGAGTCTTGAACATGGTCTTGCAGCTCAGGTCAGAGGGAGGGCTGTCAGTCTAGAACCCCAGGGATTGCCCCTGCATTGCAAGAAGCCAGCCACTGCCAACAGCCCCCGCTGCACTGGAGCCGTACCTGGGACGAGGCCCTGGCCGGGGAACTGGCCGTAGATGACGGAGCAGTGGGGGAAGGCTCTGAAGGGCGGCCCGGGCTGCAGGTCCGAAAAGGCGGCGCTAGATAAAGAGGAAGGGGTGGCGCTCGGGCTGGAGGCCTCGGGGGTCTCCTGCTTTACAAGGAAGGGGGAGTGCGGGTCTGGGGGGGGGATGGTGGAAAAAAAAAGAGACAGGAGATGAAATGAAAATGGGCTGAAATGATCACAGGGTCGGTGCTGACGCCCAGTCGGGGGATCTGGAGCCAGGGGGTGGGATCACAAAGGGGGCACTGGATCCCCTGCCCTTCCCCACACTCCCCACCCAACCCTGGCCCACTGGTGAGGCAGGGGCAGCTGGCAGCACGGGGGCAGGGCAGGAGGGGTTGGGCAGCAGAGGGCTGGCTAAAGGGAGTGGAGGCGAAGGGGAAGTGGGGCTGGCAGTGCTGCACAATGGGAGGGCCAGGGCCATGTACTGGTGCTGGGGCAGCTGTACCAGGGGTGGGGCAGGAGGAGGTGTCAGTGCTATGTAGTGGCGGGTGGGTGCACGGGGCCGTGCAGTGGGGGGAGGGCTGTGCAGTGGGGGTCAATGTATTTGTGTGCAGTGGGGGCAGGACTGTGCAGTGTGGGGACAGGCTGTGCAGTGGGGGTCACTGTGTGTGTGCAGTGGGGGTCACTGTGCATGTGCAGTGGGGCAGGGCTGTGCAGTGTGGGGCAGGGCTGTGCAGTGGGGGTCATTGTGTGTGTAGTGGGGGCAGGGCTGTGCAGTGTGGGGACAGGCTGTGCAGTGGGGGCAGGGCTGTGCTGTCGGGAGCAGGAGTAGGGTCCCAACAGAAATTCCATCTCCCTATTTGTCTTCCCCAGAGGTTCATTTCCCTGGCGGGTGCTGGGCGGGGGGCTGGGTCTGTAGGGAGGGGCTGAGTTGGGAGAATCTCCTGCAGGCTCCCCCAGACAGCAGGGTCCCGGCGGGTGCTGGCCTTGTGGCCCCTGGCCCTGACCCTCTGGCATCTCCCCATGCCAGCCCCAGCCTGCCCTAGACTCCCCTGGCTGTGGGGAGCAAGCCTTGAGTGTCAGTCCTTACCCGTCACGGCCGCGTATGGCTGGGGGGCGGCCAGGCCGCGGCTGAGTGACGTGTTGGAGGCGGTCAGCGCAGCTTTGCCGTCATCCAGTGCACTGCTCAGCAGGGGCAGCGGGTAGAGACCCTGGGCGAGGGGGCAACAGAAAGGTCAGTGACCCCTGGTAAGGCTCAGCCCCCCGAGTTCTCCTAAGACCCTCATACTGCTCAGCCCCCAGGGGACTCCCCAATACTGGTCATCCCCCCTGCTGGGACCCCCAGTACTGCTCAGCTCCTCTGAGAACCCCCAATACTTCTCACCGCCCCACTGGGACCCCCAGTACTGTTCAGCCCCCTGCTGGGAAACCCCTCCAATACTGCTCACCCACCACTGGGACCCCCAGTTCTACTCACCCCCTGAGGGGACCCCCCAGTACTGCTCACCCCTGCTGGGATCCCCAGTACTGCTGACCCCAGGGGGCCCCCCAATACTGATCACCCCCCTGCTGAAACCCCCTGTACTGCTCCCCCCCACTGGGAACCCCCCCAATACTTCTCACTTCCCCCCCACTGGGATCCCCAATATGGTCTCCCCCAATGGGAAAGCCCCCACCCCCAATACTGCTCACCTCCCACTGGGATCCCCAATACTGCTTCCCCCACACTGGGAAACCCACAGTACTGCTCCCTAGGGACCCGCCCCAATATTGCTCACCACCCCGCTGGGACCTCCCAATACTGCTCATCCCCCAGAGCGGTGGGCACAGCCCAGACCTGCTCGCCCTTGGCATGGCTGGGAGAGGCGTAGGCCTCGGGGTAGTGCTGCCGCTCGAAGGGGCACTCCAGTGGCTCCAGGGGGGGCTGGCCGAAGGCTTCGGAGCGCAGGTGCTTGCGGGCGGCGCTGGCGCTGCTCTGGGTGTCCATCCTGAGCCGGCAGCTCTCTGGGTCACCTGCTGGGCAGAGCAGCCATGAGACCCCCATCCAAGGCATGGGCATGGCCCGATCCCACAACCAGCCACGGGCATGGCCCAATCCCCAACCGGTCCCCCCACAACCAGCCACGGGCATGGCCCGATCTCGGACTGGCCTCCTAGCCACTGGCGCGGCCCGATCCCCGACCGACCCCCCAGCCACGGGCATGGCCTGATCTCCGACCGGTCCCCCCAAAACCAGCCACGAGCATGGTCCGATCCCCGACCGACCCCCCAGCCACGGGCATGGCCCGATCCCACAACCAGCCACGGGCACGGCCCGATCCCCAACCGGTCCCCCCACAACCACCCACGGGCACGGCCTGATCCCCAACCGGTCCCCCCACAACCAGCCACGGGCACGGCCCAATCCCGGACTGGCTTCCTAGCCACTGGCGCAGCCCGATCCCCGACCGACCCCCCAGCCACGGGCATGGCCTGATCTCCGACCGGTCCCCCCAAAACCAGCCACGAGCATGGCCCGATCCCCGACCGACCCCCCAGCCACGGGCATGGCCCGATCCCACAACCAGCCACGGGCACGGCCCGATCCCTGACCAACCCCCCAGCCATGGGCATGGCCTGATCCTCGACTGGCCCCTACACAACCAGCCACGGGAACGGCCCGATCCCCGACCAGCCTCCTGGCCACTGGCACGGCCCAATCCCCGACCGGCCCTTCACTGCCAGCCCATAGATCCTCCAGGCCTGGCCCAGCTGCCCCAGGTATGCCCGGGCACCACACAGCAGCATGATGGCACCGCAGAGGGCATTGCTGCCTGCTGGGCCCCTGGGCCGGGCACGGGACACTGACACCAGCCTCCATGGGACTGAGGCAGCCACTCTGGAGCCACATGGGAGCTGCCCTGGGCCCAGCCAGTCTCAGCGTCGCCTCCCCTTGGGGGGCTGGTAGGAGCAGCCCTGGCTAGGTCTCTGTCGCCATCATGGGGCATTCGCACCCACCCCCCTGGCATCAGAGGCTGGACCCCTCTGTCCCCATCTGCTGCCAGCCCGGCCCCAGAGAACCCTTTCCCCTGGCACTGTCCCACCCCCACTCACTGTCGTCCATCTTCCTCTTGTTGTCGCTGCTGGCCTGGGCGATGCCCAGGAGTCCGCTGATGGAGTAGGTGGAGCCCAGCGAGTCCGACTGGGGTGACTCCGGGGGGGTCACGGCTGAGCTGGGGACTGAAAAGACGCCCCCCCGGGTCAATAAGCCTTGGCGCGAGTGCCAGGAGATACGAGATAGGGCTGGCACGACGCCGGGGCACCTCACCCCATGGTGCTGGGTCGTGCAACCTGCCCCGAGGACGGGGCAAGGCTGGGTGTCCCAGGCGACCCAGAGGAATCATCCCTTGCGGATGTCCCTGGCGCACCGGGGACTCTGGGAGCTCCAAGCCTGATGCCAGCTGGCTGTGTGACCCATCCCTTCTCTGTGCCTAGGCGTTTCCCTGCCTGGGGGCAATGGCATAGGGTGGTCAGAAATGGAGGGCGTTTTCCACAGAAATTTTCAATTTTTTGGGCAGAAATTTAAATACTGAAAAATTTCAGGAAAAAACAGAAAAAAAATTATTTGGGCAATGCTGCTGCAGTGCCTTCTGGGAGTTGTAGTTTGGATGCCTTGTGTCACACCACACATAGGCCAGGATCCCTAGTGAGACTACATCTCCCATGATACACCACGGAAGCGTGGCAGTTGGGAGTCCCTGGCTATGGTGCATAATGGAAGATGTCCCCAGCCAGGGAGCCCAGTCCATAGAGGAGAACAGTGATATGTGGCAACAAACTACAATTCCCATGAGGCACAATGGCGACATTTCTGAATTGAAACATTTCAGTTTGGGAGCATTTGGGGTTTTTTATGGAAAAAAAATCAAGATTTTTCTGCAGGAAACTGACACTTTTCATGAAAAATTCCGTTTTGTTGAAAAACTCAAGTTTCCATTGTTTAGGTGGAAAATTTCCCACCAGGCCTGGGCACGAAGGCTAGTTCCATATTTCTGTAGCCCACCCAGCACGGCCGACTGTGCCGATCTAGGGACTGGGCCACACAGAGCACATGATTAGAGCTGGGAGAAATATTTTGGACAACACTTTTTTTTGGGGGGGGAGGGGAGGGAACAAATGTGGATTCCGGGCCACCGAAACATTTCGCCATTGAAATGGTTGTTGGAGGGGGGGCAATAACAAGATTCAGGGGGGGAGCCATTTTGGGGGGAGGCGGGGGTTGAACTGACATTTTGCTTCAAAATGGCTCAAAACCAAAACGTTCCGTTTAACCCCAGACGGGTTCTTTGAACTTTTCCAAATGGCCAGAGATTTTTGACAAACTCCACTCTTTGCCCAGCTCTGCTACTGCCTGGAAGCCAACAGAGGGGCCGACTGAGCGGCGGGTGCTTTTGAGATCTGTGGGCTCCGTCCCCGCCCCGCGGGAGTGAGGGACAATGCTCTAGAGACAGACCTTGTGCGGCCCTGGGAATCAGCCACTATAACACCCAGCCCCCATACGAGACTCTGCCCCAGAACTCACTCAGGCTGTGCCCAGGGCTCAGAGCTTTGGAGGCCACGCAGTTGTCCATCGGGAGGTTGAATGGCTGCTGGACTTTGGTCCGGATGATTCTGACGGGAAGAAAGGGCATCAGAGAAATTAAATGGCAGGCCCTGGGCATGGGTGTGTCCAGTGTGAGAATCGGGGCTGCTCCGGCACAGACTGGCTGGACCGACACCTGTCCGGGAGGAAGCTGGAGGCAGGTCCCCTGGACTTCGGTGAGTGGTTTCTAGCACAGATTGAGGGGAGATTCATCCCTGGGCAAAGTCCTAGGTACCACTTCAGACCCACTTTGCCTGAGGGGCATCACAACGAACTTTAGCCCCATGTTCCGGATGGGGAAACTGAGGCACAGAGAGGGGAAAGGGAGTCCCCCAAATCTCACAGGAAGCAGGACTGAAATGGTGTCCAGGCCTTGTGGGATTTAAGTGGTACCAAGGCCTAATAACCCCACCAGGCCCATGTCGGGCACCTCCCTGCCCTTCCCAAAGGATGGGGGTCCCAGCTAAATGAGAGTGGGAGAGCCCCGATGGATAGGAGGGGTTCCTGGGAGATGGGAGGGGACAGGACTGGCTACATCTAGGGGAGATGGGGCCCCCCGGCTCTGACCTGTTAATGGAGCTGACGCTGGGCACGGTGTCATTGTCGCAGACGCCCTCAGCCAGCAGGCGGTCACGGATCTCCCACGCGAACATGGTGGGGTTCTGCCGCTTGTAGTCCCCAATCTTCTCCACCACCTTGGGGGTGGCCACCTTGGGCTTGGAGCCTCCAATCACGCCGGGCCGGATGCTGCCGGTCTCGTAGTACCTACTCCAATAGAGAAAGCAAGAGGGTTACCGGGTAAACCGAGGGAAGGGGATGGCGGGTATGAGTGCTTGGGGGTTATGCTGTGATACCCTCCCTATGGTGTGAGCCAGGGGCTCGTCTTTCAGTACAGCACCGCGATCGCTCGGAGTGAAATAAACAGCTGGTTCCTCCCAGGTCACTGAGTTGCCTGTGGGGCATCGCAAAGTACTTTAGCCCCAGATGGGGAAACCGAGGCACAGAGAGGGAACAGGGCATCACCCCACTCTCAGATGGAGTCTTTGTAAATAGTCAGGGGGAACTATATCAAGCTGTTACCTGGTCAGGCATGTCCCGCTTCCTCCAGCCATCCGTTCCTACTGTGCCCATCACAGTGGTGTCTGGTGCTACTCTGGGACCCTGGGCTGGTCAAATTACTTATTGCAGATAAATGACCCTCCCCATACAGCCCCTCCCCAGCCCTGCAGGACTGTGCCCAGCCTAGGGCATGCTGCACAGTAACTCACGTGCACTTCAGAGACTAACCAGTGGCAGGGGATGCACTGAATATTGGAGTGAAGAACCCATACTACCAAACTCCTGGCACCATCCACCCAGAGCCCACCACTGGCAGCAGGAACTGCTAGCTCCCGTGTGGGGTGAGTGTTTCCCAGCCACTCTGCACCAGCCAATTAGCCTTGCTGGGAGCCAGGCGCGGGGATGGCACCGAGCCGCCAGGGACTGTAGTTTCTGCAGCTATTTGAGCAGAGAGTCCTGTCCCGCCATGCCGAGAGCTGCCTGCCCGAGAGGACCCCAGCCAAGCGCAGGCCCCGAGATCATTGTCTTCATTAACAGATGGGAAACTGAGGCATGCAGAAATACAGGGAGAGGCCCAAGGTCACAGAGGATCCGGGGCAGAGCCAGGAATTGAACCCCAGGTTCTTGAGTGCCAGACAGTGCCCTAGCCACTAGACCAGCCTTTGCGTCCCCTTAGCTCTGCCCAGATAGGCCCTAATTACCCTGGCCGGGGTCTCTGCAGCGGGACCGTTCTCAGGCTGGAGGGCAAGCTGTGCCAGCCTGTAACAGCTCCTGGCCTGGCTCCTCCCATGGAGGGCAAGCTGGGGGAACTCTGCTGGGGTCTGCTGGGAAGGCAGGTGTGGCTGGCCGGGAGACTGTGCGGCCCCGTCCCGGCTCCACCGCCAGCCAGCAAAGGGCTCCCGCTTCTGCGCTTACCTGCCCAGGATTTTGCTGACGCAGCCGTGGCTGACTCGCAGCTGGCGGGAGATGTCGCAGGGCCGCACGCCCTGGTGGGCCAGGTCCACAATGCGCTGCCTGACCACTTCCGGCAGCGGGCGGCCGTTCACGAAGGCCCCGCCTAGCTGGTTCAACCCGCCGTGCCCTGCCGAGAGACAAAGCCAGCCCCGGGCAGGCCAGGGGAGGCCTGGTATTACTTAGGGGCCATGTACCACAGCTGGTTACACGCACTGGCTCAGCCCTGAGAGATCGGGCTGTGTGTAGGACCCCCGGGGGATGTTTTCTAGCCGGGGTCCTGCAGGCACCAGACGCATCTCCTGGCCTTAGACTCCAGGGATCAATGAGATTTTAACAAACTTTGGGCTGCTAACAAGTGAGATTCCTGGAGCCCAAACTAGGGTCACCGACGCCTGTGATTCCATCACGGGGCTCACGATATTGGCTGTTTTCCTACAAGCCCCAGCTCCCAGAGTTGCGGGATGACAAGAGGATCTCTGCTGGCATTTTATTAAAAAGTAAGTAAGTTTCTGTCTCTCGTGGTTGGGGAGATAATGTGACCCCCAACATGACCCCAATGGCTCAAACCCCAGAAAGCAAATAAAAAAAACTCTCATGATTTGTTTAGCCTGGCTCGGGATTTGTGCTCCCTTGGTATTGGCGGCACTGCTAACAGCCTCTGTCCCCAGGGATGGAACAGGCACTGGATTTCCCCGCACCAGCCTCACCCAAAGATATATTCTGGTAGCATCTAGGAGCCCTGGTCCGAGATTAGGTGCTGCACAGGCAAATAAAACAAACATAGATTATATCTGAGATTGTTGAACAGAGCAGATCTAAGGGATAAGGGTTTGTGTAAAATGGGTGACGTGTAGGAATTCCCACTGGAGCTTTTTTAGGTGGAACAAGCAGCGACACCTGTTATTAAGGTGGTCTGATACTTCCCATTATGAACCCCTGTTTTCAGTTATGTATAACTTTGCAAACTTAAACTTTCAGGGATGAAATTTTCCAGGCCAGGGTCTGCCACAAGCTGAACTGATTTGGAAAGTTTTGGGAAAATGGTTCCGCTGTTTCCAAGACCGAGGCTGGGGGGAAATACATGGCTTTGCACGTGTTAAAAATATCTTGTAGCCCTTTTGTTGAGAAGCTCTAACACCTCCATGCTTTGGAGGAAGAACTTGAAATTTGGCAGGTGGGAGGTTGCTCTGGGATCAGTGAGGTGCCTTTTGCCATCCCCATGAAAGTTCACCTAAAGTTGGCCATTTGATGAGCCCCTAAAATCTCAGTTCGCACATGCTCAAAGGAGACTTGTTAGAGTTTGGCAGCTAAATTCTCCAAAGATTCCATCTGCACTGAGCGCGCTCCATCCCCTCACATGTGACCAGATGTTGCTTGCTCCATCCCCACAGGGCGAATGAGCATGCTCCATCCCAGGGCTGCAGGGGCTGAGCAGGACTCCTAGAGGCTGGGGCTGCTGTGGTGCTGGGATCAGGGAGACTGTCTGTCCCATGCATTCAGCAATTCCCGCTGCAGGCCACAATGCCGAGGGGGAGGAATGGGGGAGGGTGAACAGGAGATGTAGGATGTGGCAGGACAGCAGCGGAAGAGGACAGGGAGAGGTTAGAGCTGGATGGGAGCAGAAGAGTCTGTCCCCACTAGAGACACTCCCCAGCAGAGCCTGGAATGGAATCCAGGAGTCCTGAGTCTCCCCATTCCTCTGCTGTCTAGGAAATAGCCATGAAGCCCCCCATCAAAGTGTGTGTGTCTTATCCCTCTCTAGTGGCAGGCCCACATAGAAGATAACAGCCTACTACTCCTGCCAGTTACTCAGTTAGCTCAGGTGGCAGAAGTCTGTAGACATAATGACCACAGACCCGCTGGTGGCCCATGTAGGGAGACAATATAGTTCCACAGGATGAACTGCTGGGTTTTGCTACAGTTTTAAAAACCATCAGAAATTACCCTGTCGACATCTAACATTAACAGAATGTTCAGGCTGCAAAGTCAAAACACTCAAGGGTTAGGAGATGCCAGCTTGAAGGCTGCCCATGCAACCTGCATTCAGCTCTCCTGACTTATGAGCCAGTCTTTGAAAAACCTGCTTCACTTGGGTGCCTTAGTCCACAGCCAGTGATGAATAGGTGGACCAGGACTCCAGGAAGCCAGGTGATTTCATGGACTGTATTACAGTTCTTTCTACGGATCTAGCATCCTTCATCTGCAGCTCTCTAAGCCAGGGTTCCTACACCTGGAGTCATCAAGCTGCCCGATAACCCGTGCGCCTGCTTGGGTTTCCATAACACAATGCAGACGAGGTATTAGGGAGACAAGTGGGGGAGGTAACGATGTTAAAAGCTCTGACCTCACCCACCTTCTCTCTAATATCCTGGGACCGACACAGCTACATCACTGCGCATTACAGTGTGTTAAACATGCAGGCGAGCTCAGCGTGAGCCGCGCGCACAACCAGAATGAGAGTCCGCACTCAGCTGCAGCAGCCCACTGGCCTCACTAATTCATTATCCAGGCAGGTGGAAGGGAGAGCATGAGTTGCAACAATGTTGAATGCTGTAAGAAAGAAACAACGCTGGTGCTAACAGGAGCGACAGCTCAGCCAGAGTGCATAAAGCGGGATATAAATAACCCTTTGGGGACTAATCTCAGGGGATTTTTAACGCCGTAGCACAAGCCTCGTGAGCCCGAGTCTGAGACTCGCTGCCACCGGTGTATTTTTGCAGTGTAGACGTCCCCATACAGGCCAGGAAGAGACCTGCCTGGGGGCAGCTACCCCCAGCTGCTACTGCCGGGGATTTCGACCTTTCTCTGAAGTGCCTGGCGCTGCCGCTCTCCCAGCGAATCCTCGTTTGCCTTCCCCGTATTCCGGGAGTTTGTGTCTGACGCAGCCGACCATGCTCGCTCAGCCCGCACGGAGGCTGGGCTTTGGGACAGACCATCCCTCTGGGCCTGTCTCCCCTGCAGCTGGGAGCAAGGCTCAAGCACAAGTAGACAGACCAGCAGGGCCCAGACCAGTGCGCTAAAAATAGAATGGGGAAGCCCGCCTGACCTCCCCAGCATGAGGGACTGAGAGCCAGGCTGTCCTAAGCCTGATGCAGGAGGTTTAATCTCCCTCCAGTGTTTGTTACAGCGTTGGAATGCTCCAGAACACCGTTCTGGCACTTTTTTAGGAGCTGGGGGGGCGTTTCGGTACCTCTGCAGGGCCTGGGCCAGGAAGATCCTTCCCCCCACCCACAGCTACAGAGCATCCTCTGGGCCAGCAGGCACCGGTGCCTGGCCCAGGCAGGGCACTCAGTGGTGGGTCAATGCGGACGGACCCGGGGACACTGCAGCCGGGCAGAGTGGGAAAAATTGATGGGGTGGGGGGCAGAAATCAGATTTTTTTATTTAAATACATTTTTGGATTTTATTGAAATGACAATAAGTTTTTCTTTTTAAAGTTTTTCTTTTTACACCTGTTTCAAAGGCAATCTAAATGTCATACGAAATATGTTCAGGGCTAACGCTCATTATAATCTCTTCAAACATTTCAATACAAATAAATTGGCTGAATCCATGCGCCTCCAGCAAAACCTTGCGACAACAGCTGCTTGTCTCTAGAAAAAAAGAATCAGGGGCAAGACACCTAAGTTTGGAGGCCAGGCTTTGTAAATAAGGCACACTAGATCCTGTGCAGTATTAAGGTGACCTGGAACTGTGCGAGTGGGTGCAAGAGACTGGCAAAGTCATCACAGGTGTTGAGACCTGGCCTCTGACTCCAGCAGACACCATCAGGTGTCATTGGGATCATCCTTTGAGCCTACCTGGGCGAACTCCTGGTTTATAGCTTCTGGTCGGACTAGCTCCGTTCTCACATTATGACAACCATGGAAACGCACTCTCCAGCTCATGGAAAAACACGGACCTGCCGGTAACTTCCAGCTCTGCTTCTGGGTGGATCTGGGCCCTTTGCGTAAATAGCCTTGCTCCGTCTCCTTGTGAGCGTACATGGACAGAGATACAAACACACCAAAATCCATTAATTTCCGTGCCAGCCTCCCTCTCTGACTCCAGATACTGCAGCGCCACTGGCACGTGGGTCACATCAGCAGGAGTCTTGGAGTCACGTTCGTTCTTTTGCGTTTCTGGGGGCAGAGGTGGGGGGGCGGGCGGGAGGGGTTAGATAGCAAGGGAGAAGAAGCAGGACGTGCAAGGCTGCTGTCAAGGAAGGGTCGATTTCAGCACCTGGGAGCTGGAGAAAAAAACCTGCAGTGGCGGCAGGTTGTCAAAGAGATCCTGTTTGGGGATATTTTCAAGAAAACCCTGTAAAAAGGGAACACGCAACAAATGTGAACAGTGCCACAAAGAGATGCAAGGCCTGCTTGGCAGAATGAACCACCGTGAAAAATGCTCCTCAGAAGGGAACAACTTTGTGAACATGTCTGATTTGGATCTGGTCTGGATCAATTGGTTAGTAAACTTATTTTTGCACCGTTCTCAAAGACTAGCTACCATGCCCTACTGTGCTTGCAAGGGACACCTTGGATTATTGTCAGACAGCTGTGTTTTGAGGGCATTACTTACATAGGAATTTCAAAATGTTGGTGTTCAGAATAGAACTGGCATGTTAGTTTGTTGTGAGAGGATTTATCAATTACTGCAGGACTTCTGAGGTTTATTTTTTTTATACCTCAATATAATCAAACATCCTGGGTGACAATTTCCCGTTTAAAAGTAAAGGTTTATTTGGCATCTAGGAATGTTAACATTTTTTTCCAAGCTGTTTGGTGTGTTGCTAGAGATAAGGGTTTAAATAGATTGAGATATTCCTTATGATTTATTATTTTCCCTATAAAACTGGATTTAGAATAAATATCATTTAAACAGTGGTACAAACAGCTGCAGTAGGAGGAATCTATCATACAATCTCATTTTTTATAAAGAAGTGCAAGGTGCAATACTCCGTGATCGAGAGTGACTTTTTTATTGCTTTGTTTCAGGGTCCAGCATAGACATACATGGTTATGAACGTCCATCATCTGCAATGTCTACAACTTTAGAGTTATCTGCTGATGCCACCAGCAGTGCTACAAGTAAACGTACGTCAGGCAGCAAATTACTTGGATTAAAAAAATCAACAAACCAAACTTTCCTTCATTGTCCAGTAAAGCTATGGATGAGTTTGTAATCAGG